CTTAACAATTCTGCGAGAATTACATGATACTATCGTCTTCATCCCTATAGATGAGAAGCTGCAATTTGGAGGCGTTAAATAACTTGCTTGAATTTGGAGCTAAGCCATCTGACAAATTTGTAACCACTAAACTTGCTGTTCTGAGCAAGGTGTGATATCTCTTGGGAAGTGTGGTTTAGAGACAAATGTACAGACAAAAGAATGGATCTATTTCTTTTGTTTGAAAAAATTCCTAGGCCAGGACTGTGATGGTAAGGCAAATGGGGGTTTTTTAAAAAGATTTTTCTGAAGAGATGTTTTGAGACATCTTTGCAAAAGAGGAAGAAATGAAATTAGATAAAAGAAAATTTTAAAAAAAAACATTAAAATATCAAATGCTGGGAAAGATGTGAAACAACTGGAATTCATTACAGCTGGGAGCAATATAGTAAAGCAAATTCAGAAAACAGTTTGACACTTTCTTTTTAATTTAAGAAGATATTTACCATATGGCCAAGCAGTCCTTCTCACAAGTATTTACTCAAATGAAATGAAAACCTATGTTCACAGAAAGACCTTTGGGTAAACGTTTAGATCAGTTTTATTCATAATCACCAAACACTAGAACCAACATACTGTTCCTCAGCTGAGGAATGTACTGTCTGTACTGTCTATAAAATGGAACACTACTCAAAAAAAATATTCCCCTACTGGTAAAGATAACAACATAGATGGATCTTAAGTGCATTATATTAAGTAAAAGAAGTAAGACTCAAAGACTGCACATGCTAGAATTTCTACTTAAGGAGATTCTTTTTTTTTTTTTTTTTTTTGACTGGAAGCAACATTGACTGCATTTTAACTCATTTTATTCCAAGTAATTTTATTGGGATTACAATGGTTTATAACGTTGTGTAGTGTCAGGCATACATTACTGTGCATCCATTTCTGAATCCGTTTCATCGTGCTTACCCCCAGTAGCCTAATTTTTTATCCATCACCATACATATGTGGCCCTTTATCCCTTTTTCCCACCCTCCAACCCCTTCCCCTCTGGTAACCACTAATCTGTTCTCTTTATCCATGTATTTGTTATCTTCCACATATGAGTGAAATCATGCAGTATTTATCTTTGTCTGGTTTATTTCACTTAACATCATAGCCTCAAGGTCCATCCACATTGTCTTAAATGGGACAGTTCTGTCTTTTTTTCATGGCTGAGTAGTATTTCGTTGTGTATATATACCACATCTTCTTTATCCACTCATCTGTAGAAGGGCACTTGGGTTGCTTCCAGATCTTGGTTATTGTGAATAACGCTGCAATGAACATAGGAGTGCATAAATCTCTTTGGATCATTGATTTCAAGTTATCTGGATAAATGCCCAGTAGTGGGATAGCTGGGTCACATGACATTTCTATTTTTAATTTTTTGAGAAATCTCCATACTGTTTTCCATAGTGGCTGCACCAGTTTGCATTCCCACCAGCAGTGTATGACCCTTGCCTTTTCTCCACATCCTTTCCAACATTTATTGTTTTCCTCTTGGTAATTATAGCCATTCTGACTGGTGTAGGGGTGATATCTCATCATAGTTCTGATTTGCATTTCCATAATAATTAGTCGTGTTGAGCATCGTTTCATGTGTCTGTTGGCCATCTGTATATCTTCCCTTGGAAAAATATCTGTTTATATCCTCTGCCCATTTTTTGATCGGTTTGTTTGTTTTGTTGTTGCTGTTGAATTGTATGAATTCTTTATATATTTTGGAGATCCATCTCTTGTCTGATAAATGATTTGAAAATATTTTCTCCCAGTTGATGAGTTGTCTTTCTGTTTTGTTCACGATTTCCTTTGCTCTGTAGAAGATTTTTAGTCTGATGTAGTCCTGTTTGTTAATTTTATCTTTTGTTTCCCTTGCCCAGGTAGGCATGGTATTCAAAAAGATGTTTCTAAGACCCATGTCAAAGGATGCACTGCCTATATTTTCTTCTGGGAGTTTTATGGTTTCAGGTCTTGCATTCAAATCTTTAATCCATTTAGAGTTAATTTTTGTGTATGATACAAGAGAATGCTCTACTTTCATTCTTTTGCATGTGGCTTTCCAGTTTTCCCAACATCATTTATTGAAGAGAATTTCCCTTCTCCATTGTATGTTCTTGGCTCCTTTGTCAAAGGTTAACTGTCTATATATGTGTGGTTTTATTTCTGGGCTTTCAATTCTGACCCATTGATCTGTTTGTCTGTTTTTGTGCCAGTACCATGCTGTTTTGATTACTATAGCTTTGTAGTATGTTTTGAAGTCAGGGGTTGTGATGCCTCCAGCTTTGTTCTTTTCTCTCATGGTTGCTTTGGTTATTCGGGGTCTTTTGTTGTTCCATATAAATTTTTGGATTCATTGTTCAATTTCTGTGAAGAATGTCATTGGGATTCTGATTGGGATTGCATTGAATCTGTAGATTGATTTAAGTAGTATGGGCATTTTAACTATGTTTATTCTTCCAACCCATGAACATGGAATATCTTTCCACTTTTTTATATCTCCTTTAATTTCTTTCAATAGCATCTTATAGTTTTCAGTGTACAGGTCTCTCACTTCTTTGGTTAAGTTTGTTTCTAGGCATTTTATTTTTTTGTTGTTGCAACTGTAAATGGGACTGCATTCTTGATTTCTCTTTCTTCTAGTTCATTGTTACTGTATAGAAATGCAACTGATTTTTTTAAATTGATTTTATACCTGAAACTTTGTTGTAGTTGTTGATTATTTCTAATAGTTCTTTTGTGAATTCTTTAGGGTTTTCTACATATAGAATCATGTCATCTACAAATAGAGAAAGTTTCATTTCTTCTTTTCCAGTTTGGATTCTTTTTATATCTTTTTCTTGCCTAATTGTTCTGGCCAATACCTCCAGTACTATGTTGAATAGGACTGGCAAGAGTGGGCACACTTGACTTGCTGCTGTTCTCAAAAGGATGGCTTTCAGTTTTTCACCATTAAGCATGACGTTGGCTGTTTTTTGTCATATATGGCCTTTATTATGTTGAGTTACTTTCCTTTTATACCCATTTTATTGAGAGTTTTTATCATAAATGGATGTTGGATCTTGCCAAATGCTTTCTCTGCATCTATTGAGATGATCATGTGATTCTTATTCCTCATTTCATTGATGCGGTGTATCACATTGATTGATTTGCAGATGAGCATTCTTGCAAAGGCAAAGAACACAGAACACAAAGTAGGTAAGTGGTTTCCAGAGGAGTGGGTGGGAGAGTGAGTTGACCACAAAGAACCTCAGGGGGTTTTTTATGTGATGGAAGTGTTCTATATCCTGATGGTGGTAGTAGTTACACACCCATACACATTTGATCAAATTCTTAGGTCTATACACAAAAAAGTGTGAATCTAACTGTTTGTAAATTGTACATTCACAAAATGCAAAAAAAAAAAAAAAACCATATAGCAACATGTAATACCAAAATATGCATGTACACTCAATATATGGAGCAAGGTCCCCATAGGCAATTGAATTGCTTCCTCCCTGAGAAGGTGAGGAAAGCTGTGGATGCTCTCATGGGGTTATCTCCTGAGGGCAGCATATCTCCATAATTCTCTCCTGCTTCCCTTTTATTAGTCTCTGAAATATCAACAATGCTTCACATGACATCATTTTAGAGAGACTAGACTGCCTGCTGGTCACGTTGATCAGCATATATTTATTTGAATGTTAATAGTTGTCATTACACAAAGGCCTTCTCCCTACCTGAAGAATTGCTATTATCCTGCAACCATGGCTGAGGATATCACCCCAAGATAAAAATTATATTGAGTGACTTAAAAATTATAACCTCTTACTGAGTTGTTTTATAGACCTTCCATTATTTGATATTTACAGACACAATTCTGTAAATTATGTGGGAGAAGTAATTTTATTATGTTTATTTTACAAATAATGAGAAGATAAGCAACTCCTCCAAAGGCACAGTAAGAATTAATGGTGGATTCAAGACTTGAACCCAGGTTCATGGGCCCTAGTTAGTGTTTTTCTCTCCCTCTTTTTCTGCATCAGAGAAGTTGGAACCTTTTAACCACTACCTAAAATATAACTTCCCTATAATTATTTGTGAATTATTTCATGGCTGAATTTCTGATTTCACACTCACCATGAAGCATTGACTGCCCCTTCTCTTCAAGGAACAAGGTAAGTTACTATATTCCGTATCCACTCTCACTGAAAAGCGTAATTCATTCAAAAGCAGTTGGGAAGCTATTCATACTATGAGTTATTTGAGCACAGAAATTGATGTTTTGAACATTTTTTTTGAAAAATAGTGAGTTGAGATCATGTATAAATGTCAAAATTTCCAATAGGATGGAGTTTAGTGATACTTATGAAATATCCTGCAGCATCCCTAAAGAAGATGGTTCAAAAAAACAAGATAGATGATGCTCTGATTGAGTAAGGGGTAATTTCCTCTTGTTCACTCTCAGTCAGTCTCCTATTGGAGGTAATAAAAAGCAGCATAAGTATGAAGTGAGCTTTCTTTAAACTATAAAGAGAACTAAATTAATTAGCAAGATTGAAATGAACTGCAGTTTAAATTTTTCCCTGTAATCTCATTCTTATTATTACTGGCACCTTTAAATATGCTGACAGTGAGGTTGCTAGGAGCACACAGATTTTGATTAGGTCAAAACTGGGTTTCAATCTTGAATCTTGAACATTCTTCATACCAATGATATGATTGTAGAATATCACATAACTTCTAAAATCCCTAATGCCTTTAATATTAAAATAAAAATAATAATACTACCTGTTGTATACACAAAGACACATGTGTATACACATTTATATATAAAGCTCTTAACATTTTTTCAGGGTAATTTTGAAGTACAATTATTAATGAAATAGTGCACATGGTATTTATAAATTTCAATTTCAATACAATTTCTTTTTCGTTTGTCACTTTTCCCCTTTATTTATCATTGCTACAGGACGTCTCATGATTCTCAAATAGCATCCATGGAGAATAGGACAGAAGTGACACAATTCATCCTACTAGGAGTAACTGACACCTCAGAACTGCAGGTCCCCCTCTTTATCATTTTCACTTTCATTTATCTCATCAATGTGACTGGAAACTTGGGGATGATCATCTTGATTTTATCGAACTCTCATCTCCACACTCCCATGTACTTTTTCCTTAGTAATCTGTCTTTGGTCGACTTTAGTTACTCCTCAGCTGTCACTCCCAAAGTCATGGCTGGATTACTTATAGGTGACAAAATCATTTCATATAATGCATGTGCAGCTCAAATGTTTTTGTTTGTAGGCTTTGCCACTGTGGAAAATTACCTCTTGGCATCAATGGCCTATGATCGCTATGCAGCAGTGTGTAAACCCCTACATTACACCCGGACCATGACGACAAGTGTGTGTGCTCATCTGGCCATAGGCTCCTACATCTGTGGTTTCCTGAATGCCTCTATCCATGTTGGGGACATATTTAGTCTTTTTTTCTGTAAGTCAAATACGGTCCATCACTTTTTCTGTGATGTTCCAGCAGTCATGGCTCTCTCTTGCTCTGATAAACACATTAATGAGGTGGTTCTTGTTTTTCTGTCGAGCTTTAATGTCTTTTTTGCTCTTCTTGTTATATTGATTTCCTACCTATTCATATTTTTAACCATCTTAAATATGCACTCAGCTCAAGGGCACCAAAAGGCTTTGTCCACCTGTGCTTCCCATCTCACTACAGTCTCCATCTTCTATGGGACAGTCATCTTCATGTATTTACAGCCCAGCTCCAGCCATTCCATGGACACAGACAAAATGGCATCTGTCTTCTATTCTATGGTCATCCCTATGCTGAACCCTGTGGTCTACAGCCTAAGGAACAAAGAAGTCAAGTATGCATTCAAGAAGGTGGTTGAGAAGGGAAATTTTTCTAAAGATTTGGGATGTTAACATTGTAGCATGCACAGTAACCTTGTTTAATTCCTCTCAGACTTTCCCTATTCAATGAGTTACCTTTCAAGCCCCACACTACATTCAAATTCCTGAGGTGACATTCTTATCTCTTCAAAAGTCTGTTGTTTAATAAAAAGAAAATGCATTTAGAAATATAACACTTGTAAGAGAATGGCTACTGTGAAGCATAAGAAATTTTTGAACCTGTTTGTCAAACTTTACTAATGGTATTTGATTTATTCACTTGCCCTATTTATGTTTACCACATGCCAGTGCAAACATGCATGTTACAAAGGAGCACAAACAAGCCCCATGTGGACACATACACATTGGATTGGGAAATTTTTCAGTGGTAAATGGAGTGTGGCTAGTTTTTAATAAAAATAATTTAAGTAGTTAATTGAGATATTAAATATAAAGTTATGTCTAATCATAACAGTTTTTGGTTGACTATTCTACAATTCTGAATAGGAGAATATAGTCACACACTTTTAAATGAAAGTATGTACACTTTCAGCACATTTTAAGAGATACGCAAATATCAGATCTTAAATGAGTTAATATTTCTGTCTTGACTGAGTCATCTTGTAGAATCAACATGTTTACATTACAATTTTCAAAAATAGTCACCCAAATTCCATAGCTTACCTTACGGTTCTTGCTTGGTGTTATACATACTATGAATTTAGACAAATGTATAATGAATTGAATCCATCATTATATATCATACAGAGTACTTTCACTGCCTTAAAAATCCTCTGTGATCCACCTAGTCAAGTCTCTCTCATCCTCTAACCCTTGGCAACTACTGATCTTACCTTTACTACAATGTCATATAGTTGGAATCATACATTATGTAGCCTTTTCAGATTGGCTACTTCCATGTAGTAAAATGCATGTAAAATTCCTCCATTTCTTTTCATTGCTTGATAGCTCATTTCTTTTTAGTGTCAAATAATTGTACCAGTGTTTTTTATCTATTAACCTGATGAAGGGCATCTTTATTTCTTCTAGTATAGGTAATTATGAATAAAGGTGCTGTAAATATTCATGTGAAGGTTTTTGTGTTGACATAAGTTTTCAATTCACTTGGGTAAATACCAAGGAGGATGATAGCTGGATTGTATTGTAAGAGTATGGTCAGTTTTTCAAGAAACCTCCAAACTGCCTTCCAAAGTTTTTCATTCTGACCAGCAGTGAATGAAAGTTCCTGTTGCTCCACATCCTCACCAGCCTGTGGTGTTGTCAGCATTCTGGATTTTTGGCAGTTTTAATAAGTGCGTAATGGTATCTATTATCTGTCAAAGTCTTTGGCTCATTTTATGATCGATTTGTTTGTTTTCTTATTGATACATTTTAAGTGTTCTTTGTATATTTGGGATAACAATTTTTTATCAGATGTGTCATTCGCAAGTATTTTCTCCTAGTTGGTGGCTTGTTTTCCTATTCTCTTGACACTGTTTTTCACAGAGCAGAAGGTTTTAATATTAATGAAGTCCAGCTTATTATATTTTTCATGAATTGTGGCTTTAGTGTTGTATCTACAAAGTCATCTAAGTTTTTTCCCATGTTATTGTCTAGGAGTTTTATAGTTTTACATTTTACACTTAGGTCTATGAACCATTTTGAGTTAAGTTTTATGAAGGATGTGAGGTTTGTGTCTAGATACATTTTGTTTGTTTCTTTGTTTGTATGTGGATGTCCGGTTGTTCCAGCACCATTTGTTAGAAAGAGTATCTTTGTTCTATTTTATTTCTTTTGCTTGTTTGTCAAAGACTTGTTGACCATATTTATGTAGGTCTATTTCTGGGCTCTCTATTCTGTTCTATTGATCTATTTGTGTATTCTTTTGCGAGTACCACATTGTCTTGATTACATAGCTGTATAGCAAGTCTTAAAATCAGGTAATGTCAGTCTTCCAACATTGTTCTTCTCCTTCAATATTGTGTTGGTTATTCTGGGTCTTTTGCCTCTCCACACAAACTGTAGAAGCAGTTTGTCAATATCCACAAAATAACTTGCCGGGATTTTGATTTTGATGCATTGACTCTGTGGATTAGATTGACTTAATCTGTAAATTAAATTAGCAAGAATTGACATCTTGATGATATTGAGTATTCCAATCCATGAACATGAAATATCTCTCCATTTATTTAAGAATAAGAAAAATAAAAGTTTTAACTTTACTTTCACTTATTGCATCTTTAACTTTCTTTCTTTCTTTACGCAGATCCAAATTTCTGACCTATATTATTTTCTTTCTCTCTAAAAAACTTCTCTTGACATTTCTTGCAAGGTAGGTGTACCTACTGGCTGCAAATTTCCTCAATATTTGTTTGTCTGAGAAAGTCCTTATTTTTTTTCACTTTTGAAGGATAATTTCACAGGTTATGTAATTGTATATTAGTTGGCTTTTTTTCTCATTTTAAAAAAATATTTCACTCCATTCTCTTCTTACTTGCAAGGTTTCTATGGAGTAGTTGGAAGTAATTCTTATCTTTGTTCTTCTAGGGCTAAAGCGTTTTTTAACACTGGCTTCTTTCAATATTCTTTTTTATCTTTGATTATTTGTAGTTTGAAAATGATATAGTCTTTTAAAGATTTTTTAAAAATTATTTTATTAAGGTCATATTAGCTTAAAACATTATGTAAATTTCAGGTGTACATCACTATATTTCAGTTTATGCAGTATAGACTGCATCGTGTTCACCACCAACAGTCCAGTTTTTATCTGTCACCATACACATGTTCCCCTTTACCCCTTTTGCTGTCTCCCTATCCCCTTCTCCTCTGGTAACCACTAATCTGTTCTCCTTATCTATGTGTTTGTTGTTTATTTTCTACATATGAGTGAAATCATATTGTATTTGTCTTTCTCTTTCTGACTTATTTCACTCTGCATAATCCCTCAAGGTCCATCCATGTTGTCACTAATGGCATAATTTTGTTTTTTCTTTAAGGCTGAGTAGTATTCCATTGTATATATCTACCCACATATAGTTTTATTTATTATTTATTCTGCTTGGGATTCTCTGAGCTTCCTGGATCTGTAGTTTAGTGTCTGACATTAATTTTAGGAAAGTCTCAGTCATTATTGTTTCAAATATTTCTTCTGGGTTTTTTTTCTCTTTTTGTTCTCTTAGTATTCCCCTTACACATATGTTACACCTTTTGTGTTTGTCCCAGTCCTGGAATATTCTGTTCTGTTGGGGAGTTTTCAGTCTTTATTTCTTTACTTTTAAGTTTTGGAGATTTCTACTGTTATATGCTTAAATTGAAAGATTCTTTCTGTAGCCATGGGGTAACAAAACCATCAAAGGCATTCTCCATTTCTGCTACAATGTCTAGGATCTCTTTTGGGACATTTATTAGGATTTCTGTCTCTCTGCTTACATTTCCTGTCTATTCTTGGATACTGCCTAGTTTATCCATTGGAGTCCTTAGCATATTAATCATAGTTGTCTTAAATTTGTGGTCTGATAATTCCAATCTTCTTATCATGTCTAATTCTGATGTTTTTCCTGTCTTTTCAAATTGTGTTTCTTGCCTTTTGGTGTATGCTGCAATTTTTTCTTGATATCCAGAGATGACGTATCACATAAAAGAAACTTTTGAAAATAGTCCTTAAATAATGTGGTGTGAAGTGTGGGGGAGGGGAAGCAACGTGTAGTCCTATTATTAGATCTCAGTCTTTCAGTGGGCCTGTGCGCCTGTACTGTGAACTTCACAACTTTTTCTCCATTTTTCCTTACCCTTCAGGTGGGAGAGGATGGATAGAGTTGGCTGAAGTTGGGAATTTCCTCTAATAATACACCAGCACGTTAGGCTCTGATTGACTAATTCCTTCAGAGGGCAGGCCTTGTTAAGAAGAACAGTGCTTTAGCATACTTCAAAATGATTCCTCTCCTCCTCCCACTTCAAGAGGCCCAAGGGGATTTTTCTTTAGTATTTACTGTGAGAACCTTCAAAAGATTGTGGAGTACCCCCTATCACTGGGCCCCCCCCAGAGCTTTTAATTCTCAGAGACATCCCAAAGGAGCCTCTAACAATTTGTCAATATGGTTTATGTTTTCCTACCCTGCTGCTGATTCCCTTGCCATTTTCTGCTCCTAAGTGTCTCTTCCAGTGAGACTTTACCCCTGTGTTCACCTGTCTGTCTCTCCAATCTTGGGGGCAGTGTTTTGCCCTGTGTCCTTACCTCTCTTATGAATCCTAGAAAAGTTGTGGATTTTTCAGTCTGTTTAGGTTTTACTTGTTGTTAGGAATGGAGTGGTTGCTTACAAGCTCCCTATATGCAGAACTGGAAACTAGAATAGCATATAAATTTTTTTCCAATATTTTTTAGTTAATAAGATGACCACGTGTTTCTCTTCCTTCATTCTATTAAACTGATTTATTAGATTGATGCCAGCAATATAGAGAATGGGAAGTCCCAGCTCTCATCTTCCCACAGATACACCAACTTAGCATAACATATGGACCAAATTTTCTTTATGAGAGGGATATAATCTGGTTAAGAAGTTGCAGTAACTAAGATGAGCACAAAACTGAAAATAGCCACACTGAAACAGAGGAAAAGAGAAATTTCATTTTACCCATGGCAGCCCCTCCTTCAAGCAGGCCCAGCTCAGGTCTGAGAGAGACAGACTTGGCCTGTGACTTCTGCCTCAGAGAAAAGAGAGGGTGGAGCATTCATACAAAGTCCTTAGACTTTCAGTGCACTACTCTATGGAAAAAGGCCAGGCAGCATACTGCATCTAGCATGGCTCTATAAAATTGGGAGAAGCCACATAATCCCTAAACTTCACCCACAGGAGGAGCGGGGAGGGAGAGTGTGTATCCAACATACTCAGCCTCATAGTGCATTGCCCAAGGAAAAAGAGGTGAGTGGTTTACTACAACTGAAATGACTCTGTGATACTGGGAGAAGGCACACACCATGAATCTTTTCTCCAGGACTAACAGAGAAGAGTGGAGTGTACACCCAATGCCCTGGC